GGAAACGATGAGGAGCAGAGGGTGGAGGCAACGGTAGATGGAGGCCAGGACGATGGCCTTGGCCAGCCGAGGGTCTGTGGAGATCTGGGCAAGGCGTTTGCCCAAAGTGGTGAGGGCTTCTCGCTGGTCCAGCACTCCTGCAACAGAGCCACCCATGAGGGCACAACCATCAGCTCTGAGCGGGGCCCAAGTGGTGGCTGGTGGCTTCAGGGAGCTGTCAGAACCCCATCCAACAGGCTTGACAGGGTGTGACCTCCAGAAGAGGCTCAGAACAGGTGCCTGCAATAAGCACCCAGAACCTCCCGGGTCTAACTGACCAAGGACAAAGAAAAGGCTGTACCAGCCAGATACAATCCACAAGACCCCAGCTGTGAACTCCAGATCACAACATCCCTTCCCTGGAAGTGTTTCAGGCCAGGTTGGATGGGGCTTGGAGCAACCTGGTCTAGTGTGAGGTGTCCCTGCCCACCCACAACGGGGGGTGGGACTGGATGATCTTTAAGGTCCCTTCCAATCCAAAGCAGTCTGGGATCCTAGAATTCTATCATCCCCTCCCACTTTTTTTAAACCACTTCTTAAGCAAACAGCGTGGGAAATAAAACAGCCCCACAACGTGTGTGGTTTGGGAAGTCCCTACCAGCTGTCATCCCCATAGAGGGAGAATCCTACCCAGTCTATCCCACAGGATCCTGTGCCAACTCCCACCTCCCATGTTTAGACAGCAAACATGTTTCCATCACACCCACACCAGGATGCAGCATCAGCTCACCAATCTCCTGCAGCAAGATCACTGCTTCATCCACAGCTTTGATGTCAGGGCTGTCCAGGGCCTTGGAGAGAAATTCAACTGCCTGCAACATAGCAGGGGGAAGGGAAAAGGAAAAAAAAGGGCATGTTTCCCATACTGGAGTGTGGGAGAGCCCCCAGGAACCCACTGCCCTGCCCCAGGGCCCCAGACTGCAACATGGTTCCCTTTGGTTGCCTGTAGGGATATGAGCTCAGCCCTCTCCTTTCCTGCAGAGTCTTTCAGACACACTCTGTAATCTAAATAATCCATTTCCTGGTCTTGACTTCCCCCAGACAGCACAGCATTTGGGAAAGCAAGAACTCATCAGCATATTGGGTGTTTCCTACTCGTGTTTATGATAAACCCCGTCTCTGGGACGGGCAGCAGACAGGCTGCATCCCGCTGCAGCTGCACGATTTCCAGGTGTGTCCCCTGCTCACCGTTTTCTCTGGCATGTGGATCTTGGCCTGAACCACCAGGTTCTCCAGGGGGGTGCGCAGGATCTCTGGAACCTGGTAAGTTGGCATCTTGTCCAGGCGGCTGCGCGGGAAGAGGTGGTAGGCGAACCCCGACTGGCAGCGGCCGGCGCGGCCTCGCCTCTGCACCACGTTGGACTTGGACACCCACACTGTCTCCAGGCAGGACACCTAGGAGGAGAAGGATGAGACATAAAGGCTCTCAGGTTCCCTGCCCTGCTGACGTACAGCCTTCCATGCAGCCCACAGAGTTTGGGAACTCCTCACGACTGATCAACCATCCTG